ACTTTTAGAAAATTCTATCTAGGAGGTCGGTTTAGAAGGCCACTCTTAATAGAAGGCCACCCTAAAAAGTTTGATCCGACGGGACACAAGAGAAAGCCATGCCCTTCTATTCTGGGGGGGGGTTTATCATGATCCTTGACTGACACACGATGGATGTCACTAAGCGTAGACTCAACGCCTGAATATCCCAGACGACGAATTCCAGCAAAAAGAATACTGACATCGGTTGAGAATTGACCTTCAGCACCCCACAGAGCACGGTAGAATTTTAGTTGAGGTACAGGCATTTTCTTTTCGAGTTTGCTCTTTATTGAAAGAGAGAACGATGTTAAGGTCTTCTTTATATATAAACTTTCTATCAGTTACATAGGCAAAATAAGGAAGAAAGAAAATTATCGATAAATAAATAAAAAGGCACATTGTCTGAATTCTTCAACGTGTTACCTTGTGGAAACAAAGTATACAATAACAATTTCTTCTAATTAACTTTTTTTCTGGTCATTGACGTCCTTGTCCACGTTCAGAATATGGCAAATTTTAGAGAAAAGTAGAATAATTTTAATAAGATTCCTTTCCTAGTTTTTATTTTGGCCGTGATTTATTGTTTCTATCTTTTCCCCATGAAACTTGTTGCGTTTATGCGTGTGCTAACTACGAATAGTGTGTATGCTGATACTTTCTTTTATAGAAAGAATTATTATTTGAACTGAACATTTTTAGAAATTGTTATTGCCTAACACCAACAATGAAAACACATTTCGGTAAAACGCTCCGAAGTGCGTTGCATTGAAAAAAAGATTAACGTATCTTCAAGCTCAAGCTGAACGATTTAAAGAATTTTCATTGAGACGGTCACAACGTGACGACCATTTATCTTTATAAAAGTCACCCTCAAGATAGGAAACTGGAATTTTGCTTGTATTGTTACTCAGTATATTTCTTTATTTTCAAACGTCAAGGATAGAAACATATCGCCGTCGATCGTGTAACTAAAATCATTCTAATATATATTTTATGAACATAATAAGTCTTTTCATGTTTTTTATGGCGTCGTTTGTTTATAGATTACAATCCTCCATCCTAGTCTTGTTTCCTTGACCCTCAAATATTGTGAATTAGAAGAAGTAAAAGCGGAACGATATTTGCCGTCTTCACCATCTACTACAGTCCAATATGGTCCATGAGTTTCATCAAGCCAATCTTTAACAGCTTTGGCTATTGCATACATGTCTGATGTTCCATGTGTATCAATTGAAGTACTTATTGTGCTCAATATATTTACTTTCATACTGTCCGTGATGCCGTCATATTGGTCTAAAATTTCCCATCTCGCCATCTTAATTGATTTTGTAGGAAATGTATCTAGAATCATAATTAATCAAATATATTCACAATTTTCGTATCTTTATCGTCATTATTTAAGTGTATTTTTAAAAATAGAGATGTAAAAGAAAAGAATACAAGATTCAAGACTATTATAACTTATCGAAAAATTTCCTTTCGTACCTCTTAGTGTCTAAAGTAGTGCTGTACAGTTCCAAATCATAAGTTCAGGTTGAATGAGCGAAACATCTGTTCGAACAGATCAGATCCTATCAGAGATTGATTTGAACAGATCCTCAGATCGGAACTATTACCGAACTGTTCGAGCCCTAGTCTAAAGCACTTTTAAGTTCGATAATTTATCTTAAAAATGATGAGTTTCAATCAGATTTATTACTGAGTACAAGTGTTTTGAGAATCAAATTAGAAAGACTTCACGAGAATTTTGAATACAGCTTCTCTTGAAGAACCCAGGTCAAAGGATCCGACAGCGGATCCGATGGGATCTGGTAGGATCTAACCAGCCAACACAATCCGGTCGGATTCCGGGTTGAGGACCGACATTCGGATCCCTAGTGTTGTAATCCAATAGGAACCGACTGTCGGAATTTGACGGAACCTATTGGTCGGTTTTGAACGATCCCTACTACTAATTAGTTATCTTAATTAATTGGTGCCTGGGACCAACTCTAAAGGTCGATCAAAATCCACCGATAGATTCCGTCGCAATTCCGACAGTAGGGTCCCCATCGGATTCGAACACTAGGGATCCGAATGTTTGTCCACAATCCGGAATCCTATTAGATTCGTCGGCTTATTGGGATTAGCATAAAATCCGATCGGATTCCGATAGAAATCTGACTGAATCCGTTGTCGGATTGTTCGTTCTGGGAAGTCGGCGTTAAACTCTCTTGGCAGTGAAGGAATTCTTGGGTCTTTGGTTCTTTATTGCTATGGTTAAGGTTCAAAAGAGAGAGTTTAGCCGTCCAAAAACTGAAATAACAAAGCCAAAAAGAAACAACAACAACCTTCTATCTCTTCACGTAAACTTACACCATATATACTGCTTATCATTTGAGAAAGAGAAAAAACTAAAGAGGAAGACAGAGATAGAGGAGCTGCCATCTGAGAGAAATACGAGATGAATCATCATAAATGCCAACCAAAGAGAAGATCGTAATAAATCGATCAGCAGAAATCAGATTATTACTCAGGGACACTTATTCTACAACGTTCAACCGAGTTTATTATTCAAGAAGGTGTTGCAATCGAGATAGATAATATTTTCTCGGCCTGTCTCACACATTGACTTATATTCGGTAATACAATTCGCAGCAAATAATTTTAATGATAAATCGTTCACATTGAAAAAAATCGAAAGGGGCATATAAAACCTACATATGTATCTGTTGTATAAATTATACAAAGAATGCTGCATGCATAATCTATCAGTTTTTCATTTTATGTGTGACTAAAGATGTTTTAATGGAAAGAAGAATGCTTACCAGCTGTTATCGAAAAGAAATACAAGAGCAAATAGCAGATGTATTTATATGAGCTCACATTTCCATCATCAAGGTTGAAGTTTCGTTTATACGAAATTATCATTCTACACTGTAAAAAAAAGGTAGGGTAAAGAACGAAAATCCCTTTTAGACAGAGTAATAAATGAAAACAAAGTTTATGATTTTGCAACCAGTTATGAACCCTATTTTTGTGTCTGTGAAACTGGTAATAAACGATTTTTCAGTTTATGATTCTTGAAAAAGGGATTAATAGCTATTTTATAAACGGAGAAAAGGTTTGTAACTGGTTGCAAAATTTCCGTTTACTATTGTACCTCTTTTTTACAGTGTAACTTTGGACTTTTTCTTCGTTTGATAAAACGTTTTAAAAGCATCATAGTAATGAAACGACCTACCTACAATTATCGAATGCAAATAAAACAAAAGAGTCTTATGGATGCATGTGAGCTCATATTTTTATTATCAAAGTTTACGTTGAGTGTATGGCAAATTACCATGATAATGGTGGGCTTTTTTCCATTTAACAGAATTCTTAATAATTCCCTAGGTTTAGGGTCTAGAATCGTGAATGTCTGTCTGTCTGTGTGTCTGTGGGTAACATTTTGTCATCAGTTACCATATTCTTGAGGTTAAATATTCCGCTTTTTCCAGGTCAAAAAATTTTTGACATTAATCACCATATTGTTAGCGTTGAATTTCCCTCTTTTTTGGCGTTAAATTTCATATTCTGTGAAATACGATTGTTAATGAGTGTCAAAGTATAAGGACAAAAAAAGAATTATCTCTCTCCCGCCCGACAAACCATGAGACGTATCTCGACATGCTGATATTTAGGTTCCGTCACAGGCCGTGACAGACATGTTGGAAAGCCATCATTTCGACATGCTATTTTGCATTTTTCAACCTTCGAATTTCCGACATTCGAGCGTTTTTGGATTTTGAACAGATTTGAGCGATTGAAGTTCAAAAATCCGTTTTTTCTTGTGATGTGGTCTTTTAATCACTATCACTGATTGTGACAGGAATTCAACAAGTTGCGCCTTGACACTGTCACGGATCGTAATCAATATCGCGTTCGCCTTCCTCTAGGATTTAGAGCCGTTCCATAGTGTTTCATATTTTAATCCAATAGGGATTCCGCTGAAAGTTTTTTAGTGTTAAATCCTGGCTTTCAGCATTAAATTCTCTATTGTCTGGCATCATATGCTTTATTTTTCGCGAAATCTAACTGTTTAGTTTAGCGCTCTCAACTTCGACTGTTAGCACTTCGTCTACTTCTCTGATGCATATTTTCCTCTAGAGGTCTCTTGTCCTGTTCGAACTGCGCTGACTGTCCATTATAGTAGTTGTGTGGCAGTTATGATGGCTGCAACGGGCTCTTGTCCTTGTGTTAGCTCGACTGCTATGTCGCCCAAAGGAGACAAGAGCAGCGTCGTCATTTATCCGTTTGTTATGAAAACTTAATTTCAACCATCCACTTTCAGTCTAGGGACCCAGTGAATCGTAAAGCGATGAACGTTACTTGTATAAAAAACGTGATTACCATATCAAATTGTGTCAACAAAAATGCTGTGTAAAAATTAGAAAAATATCTTCAGAAATGGTGCGGGGTGAGGGTATAAGCTATTTCCCACTAGTCGTCTGCATGGTTTATTACAGAAACGTCGAAGAAAAAATGCCGAAAAATGAAAATACCGAAAGTACTTTTAATCCATCTCAATCGTCCTCACGCTCACACGCTCACACCCTCCCCCTCACCCTCATTCAGTGTCATCTCAGTATCATCAGTAAAATGGTTGGCGAAGGAGACACCGCTCGCTGCAATGTCGATAATATCGACCACAGTATTGTCGACAAAGATGATGGCACAGATTGATTGACGATGACATAGATAAAATAACTGGAACAGAGGCGGGTGATCCGTGTGAGCGATAAACCAACTCACTTGTTCATGTTGATCGAAGATCACACGATGGTGGCACAGTGCAAATGGCGATATCATTAATTAATACACTAGATAAAACGGAGGCATGTTAGTTGAGAGAGCGAAGAATACCTCACTTGATCGTCGGCATAAAACATCAGATTGTCCATGACTGTGTGATCGGTAATTAGCAAAGAGAAGCTGTCGTTCGATGAAACAGAGATGAAATCGATCACGTCATCGTTGGCATGAAAGGTGACACAGTTCGGCAACTAACATGATCAACCGAACGACTGAAAGCGAGAAGTGCAACTTGAAAGAAAAAAACGATGTGCTCACTCGATTTGTGCTATCAAAGATGAGAAGAACAAATATCCATATAATCGAGAGAATATTTATCCTTATTAGATGTGGTTTCCTCATTTCCGTGAAAACAAACAAATATGTTCACAAACATCGACTGAGAATGCTCGGCAAACGTACGGATAATAATAAACTGTCAAAAATAAAGTTATGCATATAAAAAATAAACTACGTCTAGCTGAATTTTCAAAATAGCTACAGCGATATCGCTAGTTTTAAATAAGTAATCACGAAAGTTCAAAACGACCTTATATGAAATGTTCTCATATTGAGTTTTATATGCATATTGTGTGTGATTGCTGGTTATAAAAGAATCGATAGATGATCAGTATGATTACAGCATTCATATAATAGAACAAATAATAATAAAGAGAGAACGAGAGCGAAATTATGAATAATGCAGCATCATCGATGATTTTTCCGTTTTTGGACATGATGGGGAGCTTTCTTCTTGGAGTACTTCTCATTGTTCTTCATACTATAAAGCACTTCATGATACATGTATCTCTAATCGTTTCTTTCTCATTGAACAATAAAAGTAGAAAGACTTTGGGCGAATATGTTTTCGGACATTGAATTTTATCTCAATGAGAAAAAACTTAACTGTTTTTTTAAACAGGCAATCCCGGGTGTTCTCGGTGCATGCTATTGAATTAGTTGAGGAGCATTAGACATAAGCAGCTTCAAAGAAACCCCCGCAGATGATATATACGTGTTGAACTGTGTTAAAGACTGGAAAAAGCTAAGTACAACACGTTAAATTACGTTAAATGAGCACAGACAAGGAAAAGTGCAACCGTTCAAACATGTTTTGTCTCGATCAGTTGCTGATGAAACGCGTTTGAACAGTTAGAAATACGAAAACGGCACTATCAACTAATTCCAACCGGTTCTCTTGTCTGTTTCTCGAAATCAACGGATTTAAAATGCATGAAACAGCCATTTCGAATGGGAAACGTGTTTAAACATCGTTTTTAGCGTTTTCTGTCTGCTGGGGTGAACAGCCTGTGCTTCGCCGTTCCGCTAATGATCGTATGTCAGCGCGTAAAAATGGCTGAGTAATCACTTTTACCAACCAGTTGCTCTTGTGTACTATCGTTTATGACGCACAGTGGGCATCCAGGCGGACATTGGGCGAAAAATGGAACTATCTCCTTTTTCAAACATAAATAGTGGAAAATGTAGCTCATCGAAAGGGCTATCGAATGATGTATAAATGTCTATTTTGATATCGGCTCCTTCGGGGAGAAACTTAGGGTACAGACACTACATAGCGTACATAGCAAAAAACGACACATATACACAAAAACGTGGTTCTCTGCTCACTCAGCTATGTCAAACGATTTGAAAGCACATATTCGAAATCAGCATGTCTCCAGTTATCTCCCTATGACAAAATGTTTATACTTCGTACCCATATTCAAGAAGTAACGGCGACATGATTT